TACTTGTGCTCGTAAATCTTCGTCCACACTACTTCAGTTGCTCGCCAGGCTTCGGCGCGTGAGGATCCGTATATTTACTCGTAGTGTGTATAGGCTGTAGTGTATTTTAATTTATTGGCTATAGTTTTTAAATTAGAAATTTCAAATTTGCTTGTCTCGTGACTTGTTATATCGTCCACACTACTCGCGAGCATAGCGAGTCACACGAGCACGAGTAATGTGGACGCGCCTTTAGAGAAATGTGGGTCTGCAGTAGATGGGAGCGGGCTCGAGACGCTCGAGACTGGATTACGAATTGCTCGGGCGGTTAACCCAGCGTTTCCTGCAGCTACGAAATGCGCTCTCAGTAGGGGCGTCATGCGGCAACCCGCATAAACAGCTGCAGGACTAAATGTCTCACGTTTTACCAAGAACTGAAAATAAATTGAGAACAGCGCACTGCATGCACCGCCATATTACACGTCTCCAGATAAATAACTCTTCTTCTCCGGTGGTTTCTACGTTTGGCCAATTCGATTCGGCGGCCGCCGCGTAAGACTGGCAACCTCACCTCCATCTGTGAACCGATTGTCTAGATAATGTGGGACCCTCAACGTGTCACAACCATATGGGCCTTCACGGCCTGTTAAGGGATAGCTTTACTTTTTATTTACGTTTCACTGTGCACATTTCAAACTCCACTCATTGCGAATTGATATAACTTACTGGTTTTTGTGTTATCCATTGTCAATACAAATATGCTATTTCACAGAGACTTAGAAATTAATTTTCTCCGTCAACAATTTTTTGAACGTAATTGAACTGAACTTAAAAGTTTATCTTTGAAATCTATACCACCAAGAATGAAGTCGGTGACACTCATCTTTGATTTTAACTGTGGCCAACACTTCTAAAAAGCTGCTTACACTTCAGAGTCATGAATAAAATTGCCATTGTATTTTGGTGAATACAGTATATTCATTTCAGAGAAATGTTTAAATTAATTCAGTAATACATATATTTTATATCACATACAATTTTTAATACTTTTACCCGCCTTTTGTTATAATTAACAAGTTATAGACAAATTTTTCTATGTAGGATTTGGGGTTTTCGCAGCGGTCACTATGAGGAATGCAGACAGCTAGCCATCTGCTCACTCTGGTTCCTCGCTCGCGGGGTTTTCTCCCCTGAAGATGGAGGCAATACGTTCCTCCGAAATGTCGGGTAACACAAGGTCTGCAGGGCGCCACATCCCAGAGGACGGCATTCTTTAAATTTTACTATATTAAACGGAACGTTTCTCGTATTCTTTCTGGGCTGCTGGCAGTGCCCACATGGGGCCGGAAGAAGAACATAGCGGGAAGTAAGTTTAGTCTTTGCTGTGGTCCTTAGCCCCATTTGATACAACCCGCCACAGTATGAAAACTTTTAATGAAATACACTCGGTCGTCTACTTACGACCTATGTGACTTACGACCACAAATATAAAAGAAAAATAAAAGATGATTAAAATGTAAAAGTTTTTAAAAATAAATTATAAAGATGATAAAAAGATTACGAAAGTTAAAAAATACTGTTAATAAATATATGGCCGACATACGACCAGATCGACTTACGTCCTGTCAGTCAGAACGGAAGTCGGTCGTAAGTCAACGCTCAAGTGTATACTCAAATTGTCCCGTGTATTAGTGACCCGGAGGCGGGGTATGGATTGGCGAATCGAATTATTGGATAGTCACCAGTTGTAACTACGCTTAATTATATCACTCTAAATGTTACTGTAACTATAACACACAAAGTAAAATCTTCAGCATCTGCTTGCCCGGTAACACGATGAAGCTTGAGAAGTCTGTAGTCTCTCGAATTACTTCCGAGTCGAGTCGAGTCGAGTCGAGTCTTGTGTTACGACAGACAGTCAGTCGGCCAGTCTGTCTTGGAATAAAGCACCCATCTTGGGATTACGACCAGATCTTTAATACTCTCAGACAGTTGCAGATTTGTTGATGTGGGCGCTCTCTCTGACGGGAGGGCGGGTCTGTCATTTACAATTGCTTCTGGTCCTCACCAGCGCAGTCATTCTCGGGTCCTAGTCCCGTGGGACTCGCGACCATATTTAACTGTCTGAGATTCGAGACTTCCCTTTTCGTCGCCTCCTACGACTCGCAGGTACTCGACCCCGCCTCCACAAGGGAGACAAGTCTTTTTCTGGCAAACTTCCCGCGTTTTATTACTTTCGGCCACCGTGAACAGAGCACCTAATTCAAGGGTTCAGTTGTAACTCTTTCTTTCTGTACGCGTTGTCTCGGAAACTTGCTGGAGCATTCTCGTAGCGAAATGGGTAGTTTCGTGTCTGGCTCCACTCTTCCGGCTTTTAGGCGGTGTTTACTGAGCCGTTGCCTGGCAATAGACGCCTAGATATGACTCCACTAATTCTGCTTTTAGGCGTCATGTCCCAATATCTATAACCTCTAAAATTTCATGACTTAAAAATTGCCAAGTGTGTCTGCTTCGGAGCTGGAAAGCGCATGGTGCAGTATACATGAAAATCCTGAGGCGATACTGAAATCTGTGGCTCTCAAGTTCACAGAAAGGAAGACTTCATATTAGCATAATGTGCAAACGGCAGGCCCAAAATATTTGCAAGGTTTAACTGTCTGTTTATATCCGTGTTTCTCAATCCGTTGGACGCGTACCAATGGTCAGGCTGAGGGCCATCTGGTTCAGAGGTGAGGTCTGAAAATAAATACTTAATTCAGTCACAAAAGAAAATCAGTTTCAAAAAGACTTCTACGCGCTGTAAGCACAAGAGTCTCATTAATTTTCCACCATAAGCACATTTATGCCAACAACAGTATTTTGTTCTTTATGTGAAATTAAAGCGACACGGCATATTATGAAACAATGTTACAAATTTATTTAATGTACACAAAATGTATACAAAAGTATGCAGTCTGCACAACAATATTCTGTATTTAAAATAAAGCAGACACTATCGCATCAACATATGTTTTTATTGATGCAACATGTTTCGACCCTTATACTGGGTCATCATCAGGCGTACAATGATACCAGACTCAGTTGTTGAATTGCATCTAATTCTTCAATAAGGATCCTTATTGTGCACCTGAGTGTTTCTGCTTTGCTTTAAATACGGAATACTGTTGTGCAGACTGCATGCTTTTGTATACATTTTGTGTACCTTGTGTATGACACACAACAGGATGCATACTATTAAGATTACAAATTTAGGTTCTTAAGAACTTCCATTAATGATATACTAAAATGTATTTTTACTCATGGAGCTGAGCCCTTCTTGAGGAGCCGCTAATTCTGCAGCTACTCAAGAATTTCCCAGCATTATATAGAACCCGAAGGTTCATTACCGTGTTCACAAGAGCCCTCCACTGGTCCATATCCTGAGCCAGATCAATCCAATCCATGCCATCAAATCATATCTCTCTAAGATTTATTTTAATATTGTCCATCCACCCACGTCTTGGTCTTCCCAGTGGTCTCTTTCTTCTTATTTTCCAACCAATATCCTATATCAATTTCTGTTCTTACCGTTGGTGCTACATGCCCTGTCCACCTCATCCTCCTTGAGTTGCCCCTTCTCATTATACTTGGAGAAGAGTACAAGTTATGAAGCTCCTCATTATGCAGTTTTCTCCAACCTCCTGTCACTTCATCTCTCTTCGGTCCAAATATTCTCCTCAACACCCTGTTCTCAAACACCCTCAGTCTATGTTCCTCCCTTAATGTCAGAGACCAAGTTTCACACCCATACAGAACCACAGGCAAAATCATAGTTTTGTATATTCTAATTTCTATATTTTTAGACAGCAGACGAGAAAACAAAAGGTTCTGGACTGAATGGTAGCAAGCATTACCCGAGTTCAAGATCTTCTTAATTTTCTCCTGAATGTACATTGCGACTTCTTGGAAAAAGAGAAACCGTTTTACTCTGCTGGGGCTAAGTGTTTGGGCAAAATGACCCAGTGGGACGCAAGTTAAGAAAGCTTGAGGATTACAGTTTCTTATTATCTCTTGCTGTTAATTAAAGGTGCTAATAAATTACGAACGGTTCTGGACGAATTTGAAGAGTTTAAAATGCGCATGTGCTTGTACATCGGAGCAATATTCTCGTTACGTAACGAGCCGTAAATCATGCCGCTGGAAGAATGTCTTCAGACTGCGTCATTAGAATGTAAAGAACGCCTGCTTTATTACGCGGGTCCATTCATGAGCTCAGCCGCCCAACAGCAGTTCTCTCAGCGTATTTTCATTAGCTACCACGTCAGTGTGACGCAAGAGAGAGATCAGTTGCAAACTGCTTGCTATATGCTTATGTGTGGGTTTAATGTGATATCCTAACCGCATTTTGTGTGCTCTTGAATCCCACTGCCTACCTGCTACTGCTGCTGCACGGTTGTGGCACAAAGTTCTGCCACGCTGCAAAGCTTTCTTTGCTTCTTGCTGCTAAGAACATTACTGTCAGGCACTGTTGTTATTATTATTATGATTATTATCAGGAGCTGGGATAGCGCAGTCGGTATAGCGACTGGCTACGGGCTGGACGACCGAGAGGTCGGATTTCGAGTCCCGGTAGGATCAAGAATTCACTCTTCTCCGTGTCGTCCAGACCAACTCGGGGGTCCACCAAACCTCTTATCCAATGGGTACCCGGGGCTTTTTCCCCGGGGCTAAAACGGCTGGGGTGCGAAGCTGACCACTCACTTCCAACTAGTGCCGAGGTCAAGAAAATTTAGTTAGTTATTGACAGTGGAAAGGAAAAGAAAAGGCCATACTGACTGGCATCTTGAGAACTCTATGAATGTGCTTTGGCTTTCAAAGAGAAGAACCACGCTCCATGTTGTGTGATCAAACACAAGAAAATATTTTATATATATATTATTTTTATTTCCTATTAGTTTTTTTATTTATGTTCTTGTTTCTTTTTCGTTGTCCGTGTCCAATCCTGTTTTGTCCTGCCCCATTCTGCGGTTTCAACACGGTAGCTGTTTGTCCAGAGGAAGTGAAGTCCTTGTTGCGGGCAGTGGACAAGATGGCGCTGAAGCGACTCGACAAGAAGACGAAATAACAGCCGAAGGAAGGGAGGCCGGAGACGTTGGTGGCCATGCTGCAGGGTAATGTTGAGGGAAAGAAAATTTATACATGAAATGTCTCTGGTGGCGCGTCGATCTCACGAACGTCACGGATAGTGCGTGGTACTGTAATTCTGGCCGTTCGTAAAACTTCTCACTCCCTTTACGAATTTTCAATGTAGAGCGTGATCTTATCCTTGTCAATGAGCGACATATTGCATGCATTTTCATTTTATTCATCTCATTTCCTACCCTGACATTTTATGAGGGCTTTATACCCAACCGCTTGGCTGTAAGAATGGTGTGCTGGGGAGAATCATACAGTCCGCTCCAATGTAGTTATGCGTTGATAACTAAGCCAGTTTCTTCGATGTCACTCCAACTTACACACTCCTCTTCCTATATCTCTGTTATTTATAAGCAGGTTACTACAGTGGTACCAGTTTCGCTATGGAAGCTAAGCAAGGAGACATTTGGGAACGATGATAACAAACCGCCGGTCACAGTGGCCAGCCACGTGGTCTAAGACATGAACTGTCTTCGCCCGCTCGAGAGCTGGGATCGTGGGTTCGAATCCCACTCAACACATGAATGTCTATGTGCGTTTATTCTGTGGTTGTGTTGTTCTGTGTGTAAGTAGAGGCCTTGCGGCGGCCTGATCCCCGTCCAAGGAGTCCAAACCTNCTACTATGTATTTGATTAAGAAACTGAAAAACGGCCAAGGTCCAAAAAGGGGCTGTAGAGCAATAGACAGATAGACACAAAATCAAGCTGACCACAGTGGCCGCGGGGTGTAAGGTACACAAAATTTTTGTCCGTTTGAACAATGGCATCGTGGGTTCGAATCCCACTAGAGGCATGGATGTTTGTCTGTTCTCATTCTATGTTTGCCTTGCGACAGGGCTGATCACCTGTCACATTAGTCCTACGGTCTCTCTATAAGATTCATGTTCTGCATGGGCGCAGGCTACACAGCTTCATCCCTCATGGCAGAAGAAGACTAACGAATTAAAATTTGATTAATGAGGGATTCGAGGGCACATTAACTCAGGTAGTGCTTGCTACTGTTCAGTTCAAAACCCTTTGTCTTGTCTGCTTTGTAATAAGTTAATAATTATAATATACAAAATGATAAATTTTCCTTTAGTTTTGTATGGCTATGAAACTTGGTCTCTGATATTAAAGGAAGGACGTAAGGTGTTTGAGAAGAGGGCCGAAGAGGTATGAAATAATAGGAGGTTGGTAAGAATTGCGTAATGAGGAGCTTCAGAACGTATTATCTTCGCCAAATGAACGATCAAGTGAAGGAGTATGAGACGGGCAGAGCATGTAGCATGCATGGGAGAAAAATTAATGCATACAGGGTTCTGATGGGAAAGCCAGAAACCACTACGAAGGCCTATAGTAGGTGGGAGGATAATAATAAAATGGATCTTAGAGAACTGGACTAGTGTAGCTCAGGATAGGGACCAGTGGATGGCCCTTGTGAACACGGTAATGAAGCTTTGGGTTCCATGGAATGCTGGGAAATTCTTAAGTAGCTGAGGAATTGGTGCCTTCTCAAGATTGACTCAGACCCCTGGAGTTAGTCAGCCGGTTAGTTGGTTGGTTGGTTGGTTAGCAGAGCAATAAGATTTACGTGTATTTCTGACACCGTAAAGTGGGCTATGTAACCAATCTACAAATGTAAAATTATACGATTCTGCTATATTTCGTGATTTAGGCGGGTCTTCTGCTGTTTCTAGAAGAGTGAGAGGTAACTTTGAGATGGGGTACAGGCTGTGAGGATGGGCGGTGCATGCACCTCGTTGAGAACCAAATCCAGTGACAAACGTCGCTAGAACAATGGTGAGACCAAGGCTTCTGCCGCCAGAGTGTCTATTGCCTAACCAGTTACTAACAGCTGCAGGGCTTGAACGAAATGAGACTTGCTTTTTATAGAAATAATGAGTGCCCGTAACTAAGAAATGTCTGTACGAGATGATGCTTGACTGCTCCATACAGAGGTGATGACGAGGACGAGCCAATAGCTGATGACGCCGAACCAGTCGAGAATGATGCACCAACTGATGACTCTGCACCAGTTTACGAATATGAAGAAGAAGAGGAGGAGGAAGAAGAAGAGGAAGAGGAAGATGGCGATGAAGGCAGTTATATAATCGATCCAATTACGACACACAGAAAGCTGACAAGACCAGATGATACTCTTCCCAAAGGTTCATAAAATTACTTGAAAATGTATGTTATTTAATAATAATTAACTAGCAAATAAATAGATAAATTAATTATATGAAATATATATACAACGTACCTTTTCAACATTGATCTACTCCTGTGCTTCTTGTGAGTGTCCTGCCTGCCACCTTTGCCTTAAATGGCCGTAGCGGTATTTGTCAGGCATACGGGCGCTGATAGCCAACCGAACTGAGGCCCGCGCTCCGNTATACGATTCTGCTATATTTCGTGATTTAGGCGGGTCTTCTGCTGTTTCTAGAAGAGTGAGAGGTAACTTTGAGATGGGGTACAGGCTGTGAGGATGGGCGGTGCATGCACCTCGTTGAGAACCAAATCCAGTGACAAACGTCGCTAGAACAATGGTGAGACCAAGGCTTCTGCCGCCAGAGTGTCTATTGCCTAACCAGTTACTAACAGCTGCAGGGCTTGAACGAAATGAGACTTGCTTTTTATAGAAATAATGAGTGCCCGTAACTAAGAAATGTCTGTACGAGATGATGCTTGACTGCTCCATACAGAGGTGATGACGAGGACGAGCCAATAGCTGATGACGCCGAACCAGTCGAGAATGATGCACCAACTGATGACTCTGCACCAGTTTACGAATATGAAGAAGAAGAGGAGGAGGAAGAAGAAGAGGAAGAGGAAGATGGCGATGAAGGCAGTTATATAATCGATCCAATTACGACACACAGAAAGCTGACAAGACCAGATGATACTCTTCCCAAAGGTTCATAAAATTACTTAAAAATGTATGTTATTTAATAATAATTAACTAGCAAATAAATAGATAAATTAATTATATGAAATATATATACAACGTACCTTTTCAACATTGATCTACTCCTGTGCTTCTTGTGAGTGTCCTGCCTGCCACCTTTGCCTTAAATGGCCGTAGCGGTATTTGTCAGGCATACGGGCGCTGATAGCCAACCGAACTGAGGCCCGCGCTCCGTAGCGGTGTGGGAGTAACTCTGATAACGTGGGCTCAGGATGCACCAATTTGAGTCAGGCTTTGAGATTCTCCCTTTTTTGTGATACCAACAAGATTTAATTGACTCGGTCTTTTGTTATTTGATAAAAATAATGAAAAAGAAATTTATTCTAAAATATTAGAAGTTGCTTTTAATGATAATGGCACTTGGGCCTTAAAATGCGGCGTAAAAACAAAGAGCCATTTTTTCATTAGGAAATTTCGGAATTTCTGTTATTGAAGAAAATCGCGAATATCAAAATCATTATATGTTTCCTTGATATTAAAGGAACGAACCAGTTTCGTGCCCGAAGAAACAGGACAATAAATGGTGGAGCATTGCATCAGTGCAATCCTCGGGAAACCCAAAATCTTTATCAAATGGTTCTTGCATCACGACAGTTTGCCTTCCTACACAGTAGTTCATTAAAGAGATTTCTGGCCAGAACTTAAAAACGTAGAAAATATTCGAAGTTTTCACGGCGGCTAAAGTTCACAAAATCTCGGGTTATTGCCCGTGCCAATCGGTTAAAACATACCAACACTTCAGGGATCCTCCTTGTCTTCATCATCAGGGTCTGGTGATCAAATTTGTTAACCAAATGAAACGACTGGTAACGCAAGAAAATTCTGTCAGAACCACTGAACACAGCTGATTTCCTGTGGTACGGCCCTTCATGTTCCCGATATCAGAGCTCTCCTTGAAAAGTTTCATTTGAACCACCTGAAGACATTCAGTGCAAAGTGATGACACACGTATTCTGAAAGGACGTGGGGAAAGTGATTTACAGTAACGTGTCCTCGCACGGCAGACATTTTGAAACGCGTGAGTGAAAATACCTTGAGCGTACGGGTAATTACACTTGCTGGGAGTAGTGACTGTTGTATATACTCGAAGAGTGACATGAAGACAGTCAGTCCGGTTACATTACTGTCAGTCCCACTATTCATGACAGTTTACCTCCCGTACCCACACAAACTCTACGTAATGCTCCGCTCTCCTTAACCTCAACATTATTGGCTTTAATTCCCATGGAACGACGTTGCCAACAGATGTCACTCGCTGTCAGGTATCGCAGTTTTCGTGAAGAACGAAATTTCGACATTTGGCAATTGTAGATTTATTTGGTAGGCCTTGCGACGAGCTGATCACTCGTTCAAGGAGTCCTACCGTCTGTAAAATGATTATGAAACTGAAAAAAATCAGAGGCCAGGGCCGAAGGGGGCTGTAGAGGCAGTAAGAAAAAAGAAACCCGACCGAGCGACCGCCGCTTGTCGGTGAAGTTAGTTACCCGTGGTCAGCAGAACGGATCCCCACGGCCGTTAATCTCGGTTTTCTAGTTCGGGGGCCCAAATAAATGCATTACTTAAAGACCCACTGTGTCAAAACAAGCGCTCGTACTCGTAATAAGAGATAGATGTATGTCTCACATGTTTTGCATTTATTGTTCGGTTTGTTTCGCCAGATGCTTCGCAGAAACTTCTTAAAAAACTGCTCACTTGTGCAGTGTTTCGGGTAGAATGGTGATATATTCCAGATGCAAACGAACTTAATCACAATTTTCTAAGTGGCATAAATGTGAAAAAAAAAGTATTTTAAGTTAATCTGAAACAAGATGCGAATTCTCGTTTCACGGCACACAACAATGAAGCAGTAAAAATTCAACATTGTTAAATAAACTTCATTTTAAGAAAACCCGCCCTTTCGGATAAATATATTGCCTCCATCTTCAGGTTAAAGAGTAAGCCAAATAATAAACCATCAGAAACAGGCGGCAACCGTCAGGCCTTCTGCGAACTACAGAGCTTTACAACCTCACAAGGCCGCTCTCTCCATAGTGACCGCTGTGATGCCCTCAAATCGAAAACTGTACTGTAATATTCAGTTGTCTGCGATGGAAATATTCATGAAACTGTGTGTCATATCGGTTTCTCCTTCCTGCGCCAGATGTCCATTCTATTGAAACAGAAACAAATCATCCCTCCTTGCAGCGATGCTTGAAGAAACGTTTCTTGTATTCGCCATGTTTCTCTGTGGCGCACCTTTTGAGACAAACAGTGTTCCAGCAGTTTACACGTTTATTAGACATGTGCCTAATTATCGAAGTGAAAAAATCGATGTCTTTCGAGAGGAACACTTTCACGATATATCGTTTGCGCTACATAAGATGAGCAGACGGACCGATGGTTGTTTAGCTATTATATTATCACATATCCGGGATTTGCATGACTTAGAAACGGGGTTTAGATTGTATGATCGAATTTATTGGACCTTTGTACAGCTGGTTACAACAGTTCACAAATCACAATCTGACACACTGTCATCTCCTTCTACTGGACACACTCGACTTTTGACCACATTTCACTATTACACTACTCCTTTGTGCTCCGTCCCGTCTTCTAACTGTGCCCTCTTATAATTCTTAGGCACGGACCCCACGGAAAACATCGTCTTTTATTGTCAAGAATGCGTCTTTATTGGTCCGTTACTAAGCAATGTATGTCCTATTGTTGAGCGCGTCTGCTTCAGGATGTGTTTACTGAGTCGTTGCCTAGCAATGCGTCACATTATGTATATGTACACGTACATATATCACATAAACCTAAATATATAAATTCACTTACTTACTTACTTACTTACTTACTTACACATGGACCTGAGCCCTTCTGGAGGAGCCGCCAATTCTGCAGCTACTCAAGAATTTCTCAGCATTTTATGGAACCCAAATGTTCATTACCGTGTTCACAAGAGCCTTCCACTGGTCCCTATCCTGAGCCAGATCTATCCAATCCATACCATCCCATCCTATCTCTCTAAGATCTTTTTTTTTGTGTTCATTTTCGTACCATAATGATTTTTTACGGCAAGGAGTTGTTAGCCCCTCATCCAACCCCCAAGCTGGAGGGTCCACCCCTTGTCGGCTGTCCTCGATTGCTTATTCAATATATTCGCAGCTTCCCTCCAAAACTGGAGGGCGTCTCCTCCATCCGCAACCTGAGGACGCCATGCCGCGGTGACAGGGACCCACCTAACATGGTATAGATTCACTTCATTGCTAAATATGTTCAGCAGCAGAAGCGCGTGTCACTGGAGCTGGCGATCTATATATTTGTGGTTCAGAATTAATCAAACTTACTGTAAGTCACTTTTTCTTTCTGTTCTCCGAGGTGTAGAAAAATTCTGCGGAGCCATGCTTGGTATGTTACAATTGCCAGACTGTCACTAATGGCACACTCCTCGAATTTCACGATAATATGAGATCCGTAATGTAATTTCCGATGTAGGTTTTTAAAGAAAGTTTGATTGATTCCTGTCTGAAATTCTATCAACATGAAGGTCGATTTTTTTCCTCATTCAAATTTCTTTATTCAATGGAAAACAATTTGTCAACGCCAATTTCCTGTTGACAATAAAAATGATATCAGTAAATTGTAGCATCGCTCCATTGAACGTAGTAATTCAAGGTGATCTGTAATGACGGGTGCCGCACCCAGCCTCATTTATACACATTGCCACAATGTACTCGTATTTTGTACAATAGGAGGAAGCTAGTAATGAGAAGCTGCTCGTAAAGGGTTTCGATTAGTCGACTTATTTTGAAGTTCTCGTATTGCAACCAAATCCCTGTGTGCCAGCTGGCAGCTTGTTTCGGTCGATGGGACGGCAGCGCTCCAGCTGCTTGTACGCAGGTTTGAACCCGAAGAACAAAGGTTCACCTTCTGAAAATGTAGGTCACTTGCAGAATGTTTAGTTTGGCCCAAGTCTCACAGTTTATAGAAACAGGCAATTCTTTGACACATGGGCCCGAACGCTTAGCATTCCTGTTTACATTGTAATTCCAAATGCTTTGGTTTCGTACAAAATCATGAGAATAAACATATTCGCTGTGTAGGACAAGGTGAAGCCAGACACAGAAAATATAAGAGGCTTAAACTTGGCGGTGGTCAAGCTGACGACCGTTCAAATGATCAAGCTGCCGTTGTAGCATAAGATATGTAAGTTAGGCATGATCTGCTCTGTAAAGCCTGTACTGACAGAGGACTTGTGTCTAGTGCAAAAGGAAGACTTTTCAGTAAC